TGTTTTGTATCTAAATAAAAATCCCAGATGAGCTGTGTATTTCCCAATCTCTCTGTCTGTCTGTCTGTCTCTCTCTCTGTCTTTCCCTCTCTCTCTCTCTCTCACACACACACATACACAGAGAGAGCTTGAGAATCTCAAACAGAATGACAAATGCTTTTACTGAAGGGCACACTTAGTAGTGTGCACACTCATCATTTCATACACTCACTTATCAGTGTGCACACTCAAGTCATTACACACCACTCACTTAGCTGTGTGCACATTCCAGTCATTTCCCACACTCACTTAGGAGTGTGCAGACTCCAGTCATTGCACACACTCACTTAGCAGTGTGCACACTCCAGTCATTGCACACCACTCACTTAGCAGTATGCAAACTCAAGTCATTACACACTACTCACTTAGCTGTGTGCACATTCTAGTCATTTCACACACTCATTTAGCAGTGTGCAGACCCCAGTCATTGCACACACTCACTGATATTTCCACTCCCTCACATTACCTGCAATGAATTGTAAAATAAACATCTGATTTGAAATTGAACCAGGAATGTCCTTGAGCCACTGTCATGTGAGCAAAGGGGAAAAAATTAAAGTCTAAAACTATGTGCTAGAAGTGTCCTTGACATTGAGCACTAGGAGTATCCACTTAGACCTGGAAATTCCGACAAGGAAATCACTTTCCACACAAGGTCCAGCCTTAAGCACAGCAGCGAGAAGACACTGACAACCGTTATTTTCAGATCTGGAGACATAGTTGGGACAAATTGCACGGACGGTTCTGATGCTAAGTGATGAAATGGTCAGACTTGTATGTTGAGAAATAGGACAGATTAGAGACACAGAAACCTCTCTGTCACAAACATCTGAAAAAAACTGGGAGCAAACCATAAAGAGCAATGTTAAAAATGCCTAGCCAGACTCAAAAAAACAAACAAACAAAAAAACCCCAAACAAAACAACAACAATAAAACAAAACCAAAAAGAACCATAAAGTCCTCAGGAGCTAAAGCAAGGAGAAAATGACTGGCTTAGGAAAACAGGGCTGCACTTTGACAGCCTGTCAGGTTGTGGGTGGGAGGAGGGAGGCATTAGTCAGTTCTGCAAAGTAAATGAAGATGACAGATCACAAAACAAGGCTTGGGAGCTGCTTGAGTTGGAGAGCAAGACAGTCAACCCTTTACCTGCACATAAGATGGAACTCATGCAAGACTGTGGGCTCAGACTATCAACCAGCAAAGCCATTGGGGTAATTTTATTAACCTTGACAGGAAAAATTATTCCACTAAAGATTATTCTGTAATGGAACAAATAACAGAATTGGACCATAGGAACTTCAAATAATAAATTTGAAGCATAAGCACAATTAATTTGATTGAAATAGAGAGGAATAAAAAATCTAAGAAAGTCATACAATACTATCTAAAGTACATATAAAGACATTCAATCTATCTACCTATCTATCCATTCATCCACCCACTTCAACATGTGTATGTTTGCAAAGTGGGAGGTTGTATAAATAGAGACATACCTGGGCAATTTTCTCATAGAATCAGGTATCACATAGGGGCATAGGAGGTGGTTAAGGACATTTTCTGCTTTTCCCAAGCACCCACACCAGATAGCTAAGGACCACCTGGAACTCCAGATCCAGAAGATCAATGCTCTCTTCTGATGGAAGAGGATACACACATATCATGCAAGTTAGAATCAAATGACATTTCCACAAATGAAAGTAGATTACAATGACTATCTCAAGGTTTACAGAAAGAACTTTCTCGCTTATGTTCTTCATGCAGAAAGCTGTTGATTCAGAAGACGACAGAGGTAAAGGAATAAAGATTGAGCAAATGACTCCTTGGTACACAGTAGACAAGTCTAAATGACCTCAACATTATTATCATGGAACAATAGCAACTGTTAACCTGAAAGGGGGAAACAGAACAAGACAAATTCTCAGCAAAAGTGACAAAGGCTCAGATAACCTTGACTGGTATTAATGTCCTAAGGCAATTCTATTTCTGAGTGTCTTCTGAACTTACAAGTTTCTCTTGGATATTGTGTCAATTGAATATGCTAAAATTTTCAGAGTAGCTATTTGAAGTATGAAAATCTAATACTTAACCTATGTCTTGCCTTGGTGTTACTATGGGGAGATAACAAGACCATGGCAATTCTTTCTTTTTCTTTTTCCCTTCCCTTTCTCTCTCTCTCTCTCTCTCTCTCTCTCTCTCTCTCTCTCTCTCTTTCTTTCTTTCTTTTTTCTTGAAACAGGTTTTCCCTGCATTGCTTTGGAGCCTGTCCTGTAGATCAGACTGGCCTTGAATTCACATAGATCCACCTGCTTCTGCCTCCAGAGTGATGGGATTAAAGGCATGCACCATCACTGCCTAGCCTGCTATGACAATTCTTTAAAAAGAGCACGTTTAATTAGGGCTTCCTTACAGTTCAGAGGTTTAACCCATTTTCATCAATGGCAGGAAGCCTGAGAGCACTTAGGCAGACATGGTGATGGAGAGTACCCGAGAGTTTTATACCCAGATTCACAGGCAGCAGGCAGAGGGAGACATTGGGCCTGGCCTGAACATTTGAAACACCAAAGCTCACCTCTAGTGACACACTTCCTCCAACTACGCCACACCTCCTTATCCTAGTCAAGGAGCACCAGCCCTGAATGACCATGCACTTAAATATATGAGCCCTACCACAACAACCACACCAGCAGGGGGCTAGGAAATAGGGAAGCACGGCAAATGTGGGTGGGAACTGGAAAGTCAGCAACACATTATCTGTACTCTCAAAAAATGTAAATAAACTAAGGTGACAGCTCAAGACTATTGAGTCATTAAAACCATTTTACATTGTTTGCAGCAGATCAGTTTAAAGTAGAAGGATACATAAATGTCAAATATCTTCCTCATAAATTACCTTAAAATACAAATTTTTGAAGATAGCTTGACATTTAAGAAGTATAAATAAAATTTCAATGAGTCATGGAGAGTCAAACCAGATAATTCTAAACGTTCTCTCTTTCAATTTACCAAATTAATAAAAATTCATGAAAACACAGTAATTTAAATGACACAATTAAATATGATCTATTTATTACTAAAAAAAAAGAAAGAAGAAAGATGAATCAGCCATATTTAAGCCCCTCAGGATTCCTAGTAGAAGTTACTGAGCTACCATGAGACCATTCCATCCGATACCCCTAAGTGCTCAGGTGTGGGGCGTGAACACATCAGTTTCCCAAACCAAGAAACAATGGCAGCTGATTTGAAATCTGACTGGAAACTAAAGCACCAGGAGTCAGTAGGAGAGAAAGGGTTACAAACACCACCATTTGTGGGCTTGAGGGATAAGTGTAGAAAATAACATGCTATCTAAACATACTTATTTAGTTTTTGCTTGTTTTAAAGAACTCTGAACAATAATCAACAGCTTTCTCTCTTCCTTCCTGTAATTTTATCTGAGAAATCTTGGGCTATGGGAGTACAGTGGGGTAGCAGGCTCAGCGAGTTCTTGATTTTCAGCGGGCCTTTTCAGTGGGCTTAGGTGTGTGGGCTGCGTTCCAGGAGAATTACTGATACCTTTCTGGTGTGTTTGTATTAGCTCGTCATTTTTGTTGTTCTTGTTGGTGGTGTTGTTTTTTCCTCTTAAAAACTCTCTTATCCTTATTTTTCCTCTGTTACTTCAATGTGGTTTCTTTTTTTCTTTTCCTTTCCCCCCCCTTTTTTGCAATAAATTCTCTGAATTAAGTGGCTTACTTGATATATTAGGCACAGTTGTTGCTTTACTGAACAGACCCTAATGTTGTAAGGTCAAGGGCGTACTCCAGTTTCTTCAACACATGCACACACACACACACACACACACACACACACACACACACACGCATACACATACAATCTTTCACTGTGGATTAAAGAGCTAAATGTTAAAAGAAAAATGTGGAACAAACAAAACCAGACAACTTATTCTGATCTTCAAGTCTTAAAAAAATATTTTCTTTCATAAGACCAAACAGAGTACACTTCAAAGGGAGACTATTGATAAATCTGACTATAGCAAAATCCAAAATTCTACTCATTGAAAGACTATGCAAGTTGAAAAGATAAGCCACAAATGGGAAAATACTTTTCTAATTCATATAACAACAAAAGAAAAACACATCAATATTAGAAAACTTTCTAATAAAAAATGAAAAACAAATTTCAAAACCGCAGAGAACAACTCTCTACAGGAGAAGAGATCCAGGAGACAGGAGTCGACTGTCTTCGGCCGACTTACAGGTCTAATAACATGTGAACTGAAACTACAAGGTCCCTACTTCAATGGAATATGAAGTCAGAAGTGGGAAAAAGCCAAATATTGATGTGATTTGAGTCCATTGGGAAAGAATACACACCACCTTGGGACTGCTGTAAGAACACACAAAAGTTTCATGAGCAGTTTGACAGCGTCTAATGAACTTGAGAAAGCAGTGGACCCTTGACTTGATGAATCTTCTGCTAGCAGAGATTCCCAGAGACAATCACACACTGTTTGCTATTACCAAAGACTAGTGATGCTGTTACGTGAGTGTAGGATAATACGCTGATGCTCCTGACATGATTTACACCGACCCTCTGAGATACTTACGCTCACTGCTTGCAGGACAGGAGGGAGATCTTGGAGATTCTGGTTGTAGGCAAAATTTATGTGGGATAGTGTGGCATGCAAATGTAATGACTTTGTAAGCATAGCAGACGTTGAAAGAGAACAGAAAATAGGTTTAAATTATCAAATCCTTATTTGTTCTAGGGGATTCAAGGTTGTGTGTGTGCATGTGCATGCGTGTGTGTGTTTCTATAAACACATACTTTGCAACTGCAATGTTTTTTTGTAGCCACTGTAGTCTCTATGACAGACTGAGACAGTTCTTGTCTTACCATGGCCAACCCAGAAAAGACCCCCATAGGCCCCGATAAGACAGCAGAGCACTCGGAATCTAACCTTCCTTAAATGTTCTGCAGGCAGGTTGGGGGCCTCTTTTCCTTCTTGTTGATCTGCTTTCACTGGGAACCGACAGATGATCTGTGGAGGTGTAGAAGGAAGGCTGGAGAAACTGAGGAGGTGCATTTGCTTTTAGTCCCTTCCAAGTTAACTGGAAAATCTGAAGTCAGAGATTAACAAAGAAATTAGAATGAAGAATTTTGAAAAGAAATACAATAAGTAAAGTTTGTTATAATAGACCCATTGAAAAATTAATCTCCTCCAGTCTCCTGGTGTCCAAACTGGTAGCTGCTTCAAGAACTTCACATTACAATAAGGGACAATAAAGTGTGTGGGGGGGGGGTATTTATAGCACCGAAATATTATCGAGTATATTTAATTTGTTTTCCTCAAGGCAGAGCTTTCCATGGGGCTCATGCATTAATTCTCCATTTCCTTTAATAGCCCCTATCTTCTTTAACAAGTAAAACTGAACATACATTATTATCAAGTCTAAAAAAAAACATAAATGTACCAAAATAAAATATGAGGAGAGGTTTGTTACTTCTGGTGGATAATGCACTTGTAGGTCAGGTATAAAACCTTAGACATTGAAATTGCAAACAATGAACATCTCTGCACAGTGTAAAAAAATGTCAGAGAACTAAAGACTAGGGCTTCTGTACATTGTGATGCAGTATAATGTACTAACAGTCCTACCATAAAAGATTATGAGTGATGAGCACGCCTATGGAAAAAGGTCATGAACAGATAATGAAAACATACTCAATAAATATAAGACTATTTAGCTCCATTAATAAAAATTCTATCTAGAGGAGTAACATTTTGTTAAGTGGACAGTGACATTGAGAAAAATCCTACCTGGGACCTAAAGTGACACTGGCTCTTTAAATCTTTAGAATTCACAGTCAAGGGATACTAACGAATTTTACTCTGTGTTATAAGCAGCTAATGTCAAAATAGGAAAGATGGCACTCAACTGAAGATACTGTAGAAGTTCAGTAAAGAAGCTGTTACATATGAACGTGGCTTAGGAAGCCTAGAAGATATGGTACACACTTCAGGGCTAGTGACAACCTGAGGTGGGCGCCACCCTCAGACTGAAAGCAAGTGATAGAGGAATTGGTAGAATTGCGAAAGAATTAGGAGAGGTCAGGAGAGGTTGCTTGGCGGGGTTGCATCTCCTGGTAGAGAACCACAGTCACTGTGAATGAAAACTACCAGCCAAGCAGCTGGAAAAGAAACACTCCCACCTCATCCCACTCCCACACACCCAGGGCACCTGGCCATTGCCTTCCCATTGCAGGAATTCACCAATAGGCAGAATGCAAAGATCACAGGCACAGCCAATCCAGTTCAAACCCCAGGCACAGAGGAGAGCTGAAAAATGTGTGAAGCTCAAGGCATACTGGAATTTGCAACCATGCTCATCAAACTCTCCGAGATTGCCCAGAAAAATTACAAGGACCTCACAGGTTAGCTGAAGAAAATTGTCAATCTTTGCTAGGATTTTTATCATTTTAGCATGAAGATCTTAACGATTTTAGAAGATATAGGAATCATTATTTCTTACACAAAGGAAAAAATTTAATGGTATTCATTCATGCAGGAAAATACAGTGAGGGGATTTTTCATCAGAAAAATATTGTGGGAGTTGGGTGGTGATAGTATGTGACTTTAATCCCAGAACTAAGGAAGCAAAGGGAAGTGGATCTCTGAGTTGAGACCAGCCTCATCTATAGAGCAAGTTCCAGGACAGCCAGGTCTACATAAAGAATTCCTATCTCACAAAACAAACAATAAAAAACCAAACCAAACCAAACAATCAAAACAAAACAGAAACAGGAGGAGGAAGAGGAGAAGGAGGAGGAGGAAGAAAATACTGTGGAAAAGAAAAAAACAAACCACATTATCCCTAAACTCCTGAATTTTTCAGAAATATGTGGTCCATTCCCCTAGACATGAAATGAGCAATGACACCTAAGATCAGCATAATTTTCTTGATTGAAATTTATGACTTTTTAGGTACAAGTCTGAAAACAATAAATATCTACAAACTTCTTGTAAATTATGTTTGATTGAGTGTCACATCCATAAAAGTATTTGATCAGGAGTAGTGTCCAAAAGTTTTACTTTTCCAAATTTATAATAAAGGCTCAAGTCTAGCATAGCCTGGATCTGGTGAAGCACCAGGCACAGGACTTAATCCTTAATCGGAGTAGAAAAATTTAAAAAATAAAAAAACAAGGTTGAATTCATCCTCAGGGAAATCTGGGCCTGGCCATTGTATCCATGGAAACAGGGGTTGTAGATCTTTAATCACAGACAAAACAACATAGCTTCTTCAAGTTGGCAATTGAGCCTGAGTCTGTGATGTTTTTTTTTTCCTCCTCAAGGCTCTAATGGCGCTCAGCAACAGCTTCTCAGTTCCACACAGTCATCTTTGTCCTGAGACTTCAGATCATCACAGGTGAGCTTCAGCAGTTGCATTGCTAACAACCCAACAGTGTTACACAGCATGACCAAAGATCTACCTGTATCCCAGAATGGAGCAGTTTATTGTGGCTTTCTGGGGCTGGGGGCAGGATTTTGTGCTCTCTGGCTGAGAAAGATTTACCTCTAGATTTGTATTTACGTAGACTGTTTTCTAGAATTACACTGCCTTCAGTTGAGTCTCAAAATTCAAAGCCAAAGACAAAACTTGTTGTGCAAATGACTAGTAAGGGATTCTCTCTGGAGAACTGGATTATTAAGAAAGCAGAACAGAATTTTATTATTTTTTAAAAAAGAAAACAAACATTCTTTTTTAATTTTACATTCCAATCCCAGTTCCCATTCCATCCCTTCCTCCCATTCCCTCCACCTTCTCTCCCAACCCCCTATCCACTCCTCAGAGTAGGTAAGGCATATTGCTTTGGGAAACATCCAAGGTCCTCCTTAATATATCTAGGCTGAGCAAGGTATCCATCCAAAGAGAATGGGTTCTCAAAAAGCCAGTACAAGCAGTAGTGATAAATCCTGGTGCCACTGTCAGTGGCCCCACAGTCTGCCCCAGCCATACAGCTGTCACCCACATTCAGAGAGTCCAGTTTGGACCTATGCTAAGTTTGGTTCCTTTCCAGTCCAGCTGGAGTTGTTAAGCTTCCATTAAGTCAGGTAGACTATTTGAGGTCTTGACCTCTTTGCTCATATTCTCACTCCTCCCACTCTTCAAAGAACAGAATTTAAAAAAAAAAATCCATCCTTTGAAGATGCAGCTGGCAGAAACCAAACCTCAGCCTGATCGCCTGAGGAAGTCCAAACCATGAATGGCACATTGAACCATTCCACCATAAGGCAAGATGGTTGTGTGCCCAGATGAACCTTCTCTAAGAACAAGATCTTTCTGGGTGAGAGACTCCAGTAGGCCAATGGCTATCCAAAGGTGAATGGTCTACGGTGCATGAACTGCTAGCAACTGCTTCCTTTTCATCTAGCCTACCGAAAGGGATGAGCAGGGACCAATGCCAACTGCAGGAGGAATAAAACTCCCTGCTGAAACATCTTTAAAAAAATCTTCCATGAAGATGCCACTTGGCTTGTAAAGAAAAAAAAGAAGTAATTAGGCAGACAATGACGACGCAAGAGTATTCAGACAACAAGTTCTCAGGGTTCAAGTTTGGAGAGGATTTATATTCAGAATCAAATACACCTGATTTTAATTCTTCTGAATTCAGGAGAAGCTTATCTACTGGGTGTTAATTTTTGTTTCGTGTCTTTTCTTTTCCTTGAATTATTTTCTTTAAGCTAATAGCCTGCCAATTCTTCCTGGCAGTAGAATCATTGAATATAGCTAGTTAATGAGGTACACTGGGGTTAGTTTACCACATTCATACCAATTAAGGTATTTAAACATCTCACTCGAGTAATAACAGACACCTTATAGAAAGGCTGGCTACTTTGACAGCTTAAAAGGGTGTAAGCAAAGTTGTCTTGCTATTGGCTCCAGACATTCTGGAATCATGTGGCATAGAAAGGTTCAAGTTTAAAGAAAAAGTAGTCAAAGGGAGTCACACAGGAGAAGCTTGGAAAGCTTTGAATTAACCCAATTTATTATTTGCAGGAAAAAATAAAATAAAAATAAAAGTAACAGCTGTTCTACAGTGTCTACTTGTAAAATATCTAAATCTAAAACTCCTAAAATTGAAGTAAACATCTTCTCTTATTGTATTGACATTAGGATTGTCATTACTCAGTTGGGTCACAACTCCTCTGTGAAGAAAATGGTTTAGGGCGGTAATGACTCAAGATTCACTGTTATTTTTGGTGAGTATGCACATTTAAGTGCATGCATATATGTATTTGTGTTCATGTGAACCTGTGTGGAGGACATACAAACAGAAGGAGAGAACGAGAGAGGAGAGGGAATTTATATCTAAGTATTTCCATTTCAAAACCAAATAAAAATTGTTTAAATTTTAATTTGTTTGTGCATGTGTAACTCTGGTATAGCGTGGAGGTGATCAAGAATTGACACCACAAAACGGTTAGCATTTGAAATTGTAAGATAAGGAAAGCCTTCCTTTAGAACTTGCCAACCAGGGTCTGATGTTGTGCAGTCAGGAGCTGTGGGTTATTAAATGAATTCAAGAGCACATCAGGCCAGCAGCATCTTACAAGCCATTAGTGTTTCATTTAAAGGGAGTGTCTTGTTTCTGAAATATTCATAGCTGGAATCCACCACCACTGCTGAGATTTACATCTTCTTTCTCCCTATTATGCCTGCTGAATCTCCCCACTTGCTATTGTAGGAAAAATATTCAAAGATTTATAGGCAGCAAAGAGAAGGCAGCAAATTATGACATCCATTATTGGCATCTGCTCTTGTCTGTATCCCCAGGAAATGCAAATACAAACGGCTTCCAATTTCCTACTACAACTGAGTTGCAAAGGGAACTGTTATATGCAGATGAGGCAACTTCTATTTGGACAGAGATAAAATGGAAGAAATTTCATTCTACCACACTTGGCACACCATTTGCATAACTCAGAGAAAGCTGTCACAAAGGAATAATAAAAAATCATAAAGCGCTGAAAGAGCCACATACAATGCCTGCAGTGAGACTGCTTACAGCAGAACAGGCATGGCTGAGTGGTAGGGGCTGGTGCAAGATCTAAAAACAAAAGGGACACTAAATATAGAAGCTTCTATATTCACCAGTACAGTGATCCCACTTCACGTGCCTGGCAAGTGGATTACGCTGGGTTTGAAAATAACTTATAATTCAGTAAGCAGAAAATACACACCCCACATGACCAAGTTTTAAGAATATTTTGGCAGGGATTATTGCTTCTCCTAGAGCCATGACTATAAAGATGTTTCCCATGATTCTGTAGGTTTTTTTTTTGAGGGCAAAGACTGCATATATCCACTCTATTCTATATCCAACGTGAGTTTTAAACGTAAATACATGCTGTTAGTGTTTACTGGTTGGAACTGAGTGGGCCATAGGAGGTGGTACCCTAGGTGGCCTGTCTCTCTATGAGGCTGGTTCTTGGCTCCTATGTCATACCTAGGTCGTTTGTTTGATGGTTTGGATATTGTTTGTCCCCTCGGATTTCAGGAGATGAAAGTTGGTCCATGGTAGTTTCTGAGTTGTTTGTATCTTCTAGAGCTAAAATAGGGGGAGATAAAATGAGTCCACAAAAGTGCTTCTATTAGGAACTGGTTAAAGCTGGCCTTGAAAATTGCGCCAGGTCTCACGGAACTGCTAGTGCCCAAGAGTATGTTGTTACAAAAGAGAAAGGCTGACACCAATCTTGTTATTACTTATCTTATCCTTTCTCTCCCTTTCTCATACATGCTCCCTGGTCCTGTCCACTCTCCCTTTCTCTGTGCATTCTCATCGTAATGCCATCTTCCTGGTGTAATCGAAGCCAAAACCCCTTTACCAGAAGCCAGTCTTGAAGAGGGTCAGCCTCCAGGAATGTCAGCTGAGTAAACCATTTCTTTTCTTTTCTGTATAAAATATCCAGCACCAGTAATTTTAATATAGCAGCAATACAAACTCACTAACACAGTTGGTTCAAGGAATAATTATATGAAATATCACGGCTTATAGCAAGCACAATACCTAATATAGATTTAGCACTTGAGACATAAGGTCTTTCACCCTAGCCTTCTACACCTTCTCCATAGTGTCTCAACTTGAAAAATAAGAAATTTGCAGTTTTTGATAGTTTTAGACTGTAAGCACATGGCTCATGTAATCCAGTTATTTGCCTTCTCCATGTTCTTGTCTTAAAGGTTCTCTCAGTCTTAAAGCCACTTTCAGATTTATGAAAACTTTGATCCTTGACTTGATTTCTCTTGTATTCAAGAGAAATTGAATAACTCAGTGTCTGAGTAAATGACACATGCTACTTTTTGAATCATGTTATATTCATCTTGCTAGTGAGAGCAGATTCATACCACAGTGTTATAAGAATGAAAAACATGACAACCAAAATTATATAGATGAGAGCCACAAGAAACTCACAGAACAGGGCAGGAGGATACCAAATCCCAGGCAGAACCACATGGCCTGAATTTGGGAGCCAAGTGAACCACCAGGGTAGAGGGAAGCAGGTTGCAGGATATCTTCAGGATGGAACTCCTCTCATTTCATATGTGGTATTAAAAATAGGTGAAAAGACTATTCCTGTTGGCTGGCATAAGATTGAAAGCTACTACTTAGGGATAAGCAGTAATGGTATCAGCTCCCATGGCAGGGATTTTTGCTTGGGGGATCCCATCTGTGGGCAAAAAGAGGGCACTGGGGTTCGTAGTTAGGCTACCAAAAGCTGTTGTTAATGTCATAGTAGCACTAATATGACCTCCATGTTCTGCAAGACTCTTTGCCTCTGTTCAACAGTTGTAGCGTTTATACTTTCCCTCAAATAATGTTCAGCACCTTAATTTCCAGTCAGTTCCTTCCCACAATCTGCCCAGTTCCAGCTAACTGTTGTACCAGCTCCCCTTCAAAGCCAGGTCTGAATCTATCCTACCTCCTGAGCTAAGAACTATAGAGAGAAAAGACATAGCTAATGACTCCATTGCTACATTCCTGGAATTTCACTGTCTACTGGATTGTAGACACTGCCTAAAATTTCAGGATTGTTTTCAAGTGTTTGATTTTCAGAGTTACTGAGTAAACTCATCCGGGACTTGAGAACAGTCCTAATGATTCTACCTATACTGCAATTTTACCTTTAGCTTCAGCTGAGGGGGTGTCTGTCCCTCTTGTTTTTATGACCCAGACCTACAGTGGTCTGGTGCTGCAAATCCTTTCCGACCTTTCCATCGTCTGCTTCTGCTTTTCTTGTCCCTAGTCTCCCCTACTCAGTTCCTCTCTCAGTTTTTCTTTCTTAGAAAATACTATCTTTGATCTATATCTGCTGCCATATCTTTCTTCCCTTCATAAACAGCCTGCTTTTAAAACCAGGTTTCAATTTTTTTAATAAAACCCTCTACCTACTTTCCTCCCAAAGCCTTAGAGAAATGTATCTGCCAACACACATTGATAAACTGGTTTTATTGGGTCTCCTGGGAGCCTTAGACTCCTGAGTCTTCTAGAACACAAGGCAGTCAATTCTATATTTTTGTTCCACCTTTTATTCTTGAAGCTTTCTGAATAGTTTCTAATATGTCCTTTCTCTCCCATACCTGCCCACTCCTCAGGGTGGGCTCAGTCCTGATCTGTGTCCCTGAGCCATGCTTGCCACACCAAGGATAGCCAACTCTCTAAAAGTGTTTCTACCCAGAACCCCTCCCCTGATTCCTCAAATTCGTTTTACTAGATAATAGTTACCTCTTGTTTGGTGTGTGTCCCCAGGACTCAGGCCACACCAAGCTCACCACTTGAGTCATCTTGTTCCACGACTATGATATGGCTGCATCTCATCTCCTCTTGTGGCCATTACATTGACACTTGCTCCTCCTTGCTGTGCCCTTGCCCTTTCAAATGTCCCTGTGTTTCTGTTTCTTACGATAGTAGAGGTTTTGGCTCTCCATGGAGTTGAAGATGTTCCATGTTCAGTGGCTTCAGACTTGATCTAATCTAGACATTCTGAGAAAGATTATTTTTAAAATAGGTTATTAAATATACAAATATGTTATGCTTCCCTGTACACAGTGAATCGGGAGGACATAAGAATAGTATGTGTTTGAGTTTCCTCAAATTCTCACTAAACTTTTCCCATACACACCCTGAATGCTCCCAGCGTAATTATTGCTTATAATGTTATTTTAGAGAGAGATAGCTCTTGAAGGACTTGCAGAATCACATAGAAACTGATTGAATGCTGCAAACACAGTCTTCACATAAAATTCAAAAGGTGGGATTAGGGAGGCAACTTGGTTGCTAGAGTGTTTATCTAACATGCGTGGAGCTGTAGGTTTGATTCCCAGCACCAGGTAAAACTACGAATGTTGATAAAAACTTGCAATCCCAGTATTCATGAGGTATGGGCAGGAGGATAAAAAAATTCAAGGGGATTTTCAAAATCAAAATTCAAAAATACATAAGGATTTCAAAGACAACCTGAGATACATTATACTCTGTCTCAAAAGACATAGAGGTTATGGACATGGTCCAAAGGACAAAATTGTTCCTTTATAGGTCCCTGTGATCCCTGCTCCAATCCTTAGCACCAACATGTAAAGCCTATAACATTAACATCACGAACAAAGACAAGGTATAGTGATAGAGGAGGGCTCCAGACAGCCTCCTCTGACTTCCACATTCATGTGAGCATGTGTGCATGACCACCCATATGCACACAATACACACAATAAATCAAGAAAATCAATAAGGTTCAAAAATGAACTACTCAGAGCCACATCTACATATACTCAGTGGTACCTCTGCATGTATTCTTATGTTCCCACAATTACCCCCTACCTCCATCCTCTTACGGAGAAAATGACTGACAGCTGCCGACAGTAACTAAGAAACTCGGAATACTCATTGCTATTCATCAGATCACATCATAATCTTAGAGCATAAGCAAAGATGAAATTCTTGAGGTTTTCTGACTCCTGGTTTTGCATGCTTCTTACCGAACCACCAGTCCACTGTCTAAATTCTAGAGACAGGTTATCATCATGTCTTTTTTAAATAAGTCGTTCCAGTAGCTTATGGAATTAACCAACATCTCATTTCCTCATTATCAGAGTGTTCAGGCAATCAAATCTCCTCTCGAGCCTGTGCCTTCCAAATCAGAAGAAGGTTCAAATCTGAGAAGTGAATACATTTATCTAAGCAGAGCCTGTCAGAACATTTTTAATAAAGACTTGGCCCAATTTCAGAGCTTTCTTTTCATTAGGGCAGGTCTGAAAGCAAAGGCCTTGAAAGTGGTTAGAAAAACATAGTGTAATCACTATGGTCCCATTATCCTGTCCCTGGGTAATCATTAGGCATCAGCTTGCCAAAGCGAAGGGCGGCAAATTACTCATTTATTGTTGCCTGAGCTGTGCGGAAGATTGAAACTGGACTACTAATGATTTTTTTCACCTTGTTGGGGAGAGTCTGTAGAGGAGTTCACACGCAGCACCGATTCTGACTCTAAGAAAAATACGAACAGGAAGCAAAGCGTCACCTACCTGCCAGCTCGAGCCCAGGAAACTTCCTCACCTCACCAATGCAGTTCTACAGAAGTGATTAAGATTCACAACCAGAGAAGAAACTAGTGAGGTTCACCTCTTTGTGAACTCAAAGGGACCAGAAACTTAGCTGAACACAAACCAGGGTTAAGACAACTACTTACCAAGTGTAGGAAAAAGTTATTTTAAATACCATTTAGATTAATGTTCAGTAAAGATTCCAAATGTAGGTGTGGGTATAAACAACCAAATATTCCCTATATTCATTAGAGTGTTTACATATTCTAGCATGAACAGGTCTGCTCGTACATACTTAATTTATATACACATCTGAAATAAAGATCTGTAGTGAGCATCTGAGTAGGTATAACACATAAGACCAGAGTGAAATTTCATACATCATGTAAGGGAATACAGTGGTCTCTACAAAGTAGATCTGAGTATTTATATGACTATTCTGAGGAGAAATTACTAAAAAAAATAATTTACCAATCTAAATTAATAAAATGACCCTATTAGAAGCAAAATACAATTACAATTTATAGACAGAGTCTGATTCTATGGTAGAAAGATGCTGGACAATCACTGAAACAGGCAAGAAGGAAGGTTCCGGAAAGTCTTAGGTAGTTTTTTTTTTTTTTTTTTTTAGGAAACTGTTACATTTAAAAGTAAAGATAGAAAGCTCCTTGCTTCTATAGGAAATAGCACATTGTCTGGAATGGACATGTAGGAACCAAAAGGCATTGATTTCTATTGCCTGCTCGGCTGGTGACTGCTTCTGTCGTCTGAGGCAATTTCCTTAGCCTATTTGTGACTAAATCTCGGCATCTACAAAATGAGGTTAGTAATCTTTTCTGCCTGAGAACAGCGAGTATTATTATTAGGGCTTTTGTTCATATTAATAATGTTTGCGATGCCTTCAGGGATTTTCAAATAAAAAACATTATGGAAGCCCTAATGTATCATTAATACTATTTTCCATGCAACTGCAAAAGCGTACTGTGGAAGCTGATAAATTAACATTTGCAACATTTATTTAAAAATAGCTGGAATAAGCAGTATTATTTAATACATGGATTTTACCCTTGAATAACATTTAGGAAATTTACAAGGGCTAGCTTCTGATTAACATTTTATTATAAAAATAATCAAATTCAGAGCATTTAGTAAAAGATTCGGCATGTTTATCTATTGTGGTCTCTAAACTCATGGCTCCGTTTCACTCATATAACTTAGACAAAATATGCATCGTGACTTGTTGAAAACTCAGAAAGAGTTTGTTATTTGTAAATGTAATCCTCTCTTTAACTGTGGATCGTTTAAAACATGTCTGATGCGGGCTGGAGAGATGGCTCAGTGGTTAAGAGCATTGCCTGCTCTTCCAAAGGTACTGAGTTCAATTCCCAGCAACCACATGGTGGCTCAAAACCATCTGAAATGAGGTCAGGTGCCCTCTTCTGGCCTGCAGACATACACACAGACAGAATATTGTATGCATAATAAATAAATATATTTTTAAAAAAATTAAAAAAAACATGTCTGATGCATCATCATTTCGTTTTCCAACTGACTGTAACACGATGACACCCTTTCAGGGAGTTTTCAGAGCTTGCTTAGTGTTTAATGTCTTAGGACGCTGGGCGCATTCTGATGGCACCTGGCTTTGGATGGATATTAAAGTGTGCGTTACGGGCATAGGGTTCGTTCGGTTTACAGTATTTTACCTACGGACACCATTTCTAGGGCTCTCTATTGTAACATTATCATTAAGGTTACTGGCCCTCTGCTGCAGACGACGTGATTAAATCCTGTTGCGATTACCCTTGTTAGGAAGTCTTCTGCTTCTTGGCACTAAAGGTGCACAGAGCCTTGCAGGCGCAGACATGAAGAGGGGCAGCACTAAACTCAAGGGTTTGGGGAGCTCTCGGCTTGGGGACAAAATGGATCCCCAAAGTAAGGCATTTCTGGACTCCCTGGGGATATGTTTGCTTTTGAAATTTATTTCATCATACTACAATGGGTTTATTCTTATTGTGTTTTTCTCCCTAGAGCAATGAAGGCGAAGGGCCCAAACTGAAGGAAGTCTTGCCAAAGAAAGATACAGAAAAAGCCCCAAGGTAGACTGGGGAAAATGACACAATGTTTTAAGATACATAAGAGAGAGTCTGGTTAACGAAATGGGAATCGGGATCTATAGCTCCTTAGCTCTGGTGATTGAGAATTTCAACAGTCCACACCTAGAAACCGAATCTTGTCCCACAGGTGACAGCAGGGCAGAGAGGGTCACATTATAAACCCATTTTGTTTTGCAGCAGTTTAATGAGACCTAGTTAGTTTCTTGATGTAAGCATTCAGAGCCCAGGCAAGCAGTGTGATTCGAGTGAGGGTTGCTTGTGTGTACACATGCTAGCATGTGCACAGGACCCTGAGAGGCAGTGGAGGGTATTGGGCAAAGCTTCCCATGTGTAGAAAACTATGAATATTCATTACTGCTTATTAGTAAGTTTCTAGAGAGAACCATTCTCCCTGTTTAGCATCTCCATTTCTAGCCTCATTCTTATGAGGTTTTCGAGGATTGATTCAGTTGGTACTGATAAAGCACCCAGAGGCATGGAGGTGCTCTTGAATGTGCCCTCCTCTATTGGGTGCAATGGTATGCTGTGCTCTTAAAGTGTTCCTGAAGATGCCAAGCACATAGATGTTCGAGTCAAGTACTACAAAGTGACATTTGTATGGTGTGAGCCACACATATGCAGAAGATCATTTCACAACATTTGTATATTTTCCCCATTGTGCCTTAGGAACAAGCAAGTGTGAGGAAATCCAGCAAAAGTAAGTGCGACATATGCATATGAAACTAGAACAAACTCTCTGGAACCGAAGATGTTTAACAAAATAATAACAGTCAATAGGGATTAGGTGGACTTGAAAGAGATAAGAGGGTCACATGCCAGGTGAATCAGTTCACCAAATCCTCACCATGCTTTTCTGAGTATTAGCTTGCACTTACTAAGACAAAAATGAGGCACAAAAGAGATTAAAAAGCACATTACTTAATTATAAAAAGCTGAGGTTATCCTGAGTTCAACCTTCAGACTTAGCTCTCACATACATATACATACATGCACATAGATAGATGATATATAGATAGATAGATAGATGATAGATATATAGATAGGTGATAGACAGATAGATAGATAAATAGATAGATAGATAGATAGATAGATAGATAGATGATAGACAGACAGATAGATAGATAGATAGATAAGGATATATATACATCTTTAGTTTGTAACTACACATACATAGTTTAGTTAAATTTACAATTCTACTCATTTTAAAACAATTTTTATTCTTGCTCCATGCATCTTGTGTATGCATCATTTACAAACAGAAAGTTCTAGGTCTTATTTTAATGTAATCATATTTTCATGTATGTTCATTTGTACGTAAGTGTGAAATAGT